GAATCGCTGTCACTTTGGCATAATTAATGGCCTTTTGCCTACCTGAGTTGAGTCCACTTGTGATGCACACCAGGAAATGTTCCCGTGCCCACTTATCCTCGGGGTCACTATGATTCCAAGCAGGGTCAGTTAAAGGCCCAGCTGTTTTCCCTACTGGAGAATTGTCATTCATCGCCTGTATCTCCTCTGCAAACTTCCTAGCACCTTTGAGCACTCGTTCTTCTCAAAGTCTGTCATAGTCTGTCCCAGTATGACCATGACATCCTTCCAGGTGAAAGCATAGGCTAGGGTGAGGTGCTGGAGTGTTCTATGTACTGTTCAGGTTTGTTACAGTAACTGCCCAAGTCACTTTTCATTTGCTTGAGTTCAATTAGAGTGAAGGGCTTGTCGACTTCCTGGGGACGAAACTCCCCAGCTGTCACTACTAAGGTACAATGTTGGTAGGTTCAGGGCTGGGGGAATAGTTGCCCCTAACTTCAGGGTCCCTTAAGGGATCCTGGGTGCACTGGGAACGAAGGTCTTTACTACTCCTCAAAAAGAAAAATACTTGTGTTAGTCTGGGTAGACTAGAGAAACAAATCCACAGAAACTCATATGTATATATATGAAGGGTAAGTGTACATTGAGAAAGCATTCCAATCCAGTGCTGCCCAAGCCCATAAGTTCAACATTAGCCCATATGTCCAACATCAATCTACAAAGTCCTCAAACTCACAAAAAACACACAATGACGCCGACTGCAGGAGTAAAGCCGAATCTGAGCATATAAGCATCTCAGCACTGGCAGGGGTCTCCAGGCGGCTGCACCAGCACCCAGGGCTGCATCAGGGTAGGTCCATGTGGCTTCTCAGGGATGTCTCACAGGAAGTGAGCCTTGCCAGCTGAATCAGGGAACTAGCTAAAGCCGCTGCGCCCTGGTCCAACCATCAGAAAGCAAGAGATGGGAGAACTAGAAAGGTGAGGCTCACCGAGCCATTTGTCTGCCCTTCAATTAATCCCACATGTGTTTATCAACCAGGTGGGCACAATAAACCTTAACTCTCAATGCTCTAACATATGGCATCTCTGCCCAGTTCCCCATCCTTCCACAGAAATGTTCTAGCTGAATCCTGGTTGGAAGGGAAAGTGTGCCATTCTCTGGCCACGATTCTCCTTTTTCTAAAAGATATTGTGGCCAAATGGAGTTGCAAAATGAAATCAGCTTCTGTTTTCCCAGCCTCTTCGGATCAAATCTATGCCAGTTAGACAGGATACATCCAAGGGAGTAATTCCTGGGTATTGAGCTGGTAAGTCTCATCTAGAAAACACCAAACAAGGAGGTTGAGAGCTTGATGCCTCAAGGTCAATAACTGCAGCTTCTGGGTGCATCTCCAGGTTGTGAATCTGAGGCCTCAGGGAGGTGCCCCTGCTCGAGTGAGGAGTCCGAGACCAATCTCTGCAGTCTGCGTAGTTCTGGACTGTTCTCTAGACCACAAGCTGGGAGGGCCACTGTTTGGGGTGGCCCCTGAACTTCAAAGATGCCTGCCGGCAGGAGCAAAATCTCAAATCCCTGAAGGGAAGGGACATTTGTCCAGCAGCTCAGGGAACCTTTAGGGAAATTGGAATTTCTAGCTGGAACATCGTGGCAGCAGAGCTATATTGAGAGCTATCCCAACAAGTGCTGAAGGCAGTTTCACTGAAAGGCAAAAGTCAACAGTTACTCGGGCTAGACTCCCCAACGCCTTTGGCCTAGGCCTGGGCAATGGAAAACCAGCCAATAGGAAAAAGAAACCCATGCTAGCAGATTCTAAAGCAGCTTGTTTGTAAAACCAAGAGAAAGCTAAAGGGAAGGGAAGGGAAGGGAGGAGAGGGGAGGGAAGGGATGCGAAGGGAAGGGTCCTGCTTCCAGGACTAGGCGTGGCTAATTCCCAGGGCCCAAGAAACCAGGTACCTAGATACTGCCCCCCATGTGTCTGGAGCAGCGGGTGCCATCTTGGCCAGGGTCACAAGCTTGTTGTCCCACAGCCAAAATGGTGGACACTGGGTAGCACCATTTCACTAGGGAACTGAGTCACATGGTTGGGAAAATAGCGGCTGCAGCTTGTGGCCTAGTCAAAGGTCAGCGGGAGTGGAGGTCAGCTGCCAGAATCAGAGTCCTGCAGAAGCCAACAGGGTTTATGTGGGCGTGCCCAGCCATCCAGCTGGCTGGAACACAAAGCACACCACTGAAAATCAAAAAGGTGTAGTTTCCATCCCATCCCAGGAATTGAGGATGGGGAGTGCATGAAAGCCCCCATAAACACAAAGGCAGGCGCAGAGCCCCAAATTCCAAATAAGGAGAACAGATGAAAGGACAGACACATGGAGATGGGGCTACTGCAACACATTACACATGGCCCTGAGAGCCATTTCCGGGACCATCCACCATGTGGTTTGGAGGGAGGAGTTCAGCGAGGCTTCCTCTTCCTTGATGAGAGATTGAGGAAGGACTTCCTAGCCCTCAAAATGAGGGCAGGGCAGAAAAGGTAGCTCTGTGTATGTTAAGAAGGATATTGATTCACCCGGCATCTTTGAGCATTACTCTAGGTTAGGCGAGGGTGATGGGGGTCTCGTCAGTCTTCAGCCAATTCCAGCAGGGCCAACAGCGGGTCAGGAGCTGGAAGGACAGTCAGACTTCCAGTGTCCCCTGTGAACGCATGCCAGGCAGGGTTTGGTTGGAGCTCTGGGCCTGGGGTACTCCCTTGACCAGTGCCTTTCTTCTCAGCACTTGAAGCAGGCACCAGGTGGTGGTCATTGTTCCCAGGAACCCTGACCCTGCACTGCCCCTTTGGGGCTGGGGGTGGGGGGGGGTGTCACCGGCCACAGGGCTGCTACTAAGGCTTGGGTTTGGAAATTTACCTTCTGCTGGAACCAGGCATCACGGACTGACTCTGCGTGCTCCTTGCATCTATTAAAAACCTTGAATGCCATATTCAGTAAATCTCAGACCAGGGTTTGAGTGCCATCTTCCGCCTTTTAAAGTTTTTCTAATGCCTGGGGCTGACTGGGTGATAAAATGAGTAGCGAGGACCATAGCCCCAGCTGGAGAAGCTGGATCTAAGCGGGTGTATTGGGTTTTTAGAGCATCAGTTAAGCGGCTTAAAAAGGTGGCTGGATTTTCCTCAGGCTTTTGAGTGATCTCCCTAAGTTTATTAAAATTGACTGCTTTATGGGAAATGGCCACGTCTGTCCCTGCCTGCTTGAGTGTTAATTGGATAACCCCAACCAAGTTCTTGTCTGGGAACTGCCTTGGGGCTGACCAGCATATCTGAGTCAGTCAAATGAACTTGATTGGCATACAGCTTTCATCTGTGGTTGGGGTAGAGGAAAGAATGGCAAAAATATGCCAGGACAAATCATAAGCTTGAGTTAAACATCGAAACTCCTTAATATAGGTGGTGGGATCATTAGAAAAGGAGCCTAAGCTCTTTTCAATCTGAGATAAGTCAGAGAGAGCCTGGACATACGGAAGCTCGGACCATTTCTCGGTCCTTTGGCAGAAGTTACTTAGATTGGTTAAAATATTGAAATCAGAAGTCCCTTGTTTGGGCCACTTAGTCCCGTTATCCAAACTGTACTGGGGCCATTCAACCATGGAAAAAAAGATGAGGCGCCTTGGACGAATGTCCAGCGTCAGCCCCAGTTTAGTGAGGTTGGCTAGGAGGGACCCTAGGGTGTGTGTGGGGGGTCGATTTTAGAATTTTGATTGCCCGTGGCTAATCTCCGGAGACCAATAGTCAAGGCCAAAGGACCAGCGTCCCAGTCATTTACCCTTGGCTACAGACAGAAGGAGGAGGACCCGAGGGCTGACAGGGACGTCTCCCCTGTCATCCTGGGTGGGACTGAAAAACGAAGGGCGGATCTCTGACGTGGCCATGTGTTTACAGAGAGGGCCGTGGAGGTCACCAGAAGTAGACATGGGTTGACACTTACCGTATGTTCTGCCAGACTGGAGCGCTGCCGAGGATCCCTGAGGCGAACGGGAGAGGAGGGCTCCCCGAAACTGTGCTGGGCAGTTAAGAAGGAGCTCACTCTTTCCGGGTTTCGGGCATCATGTATTAAGTTCTCCGCAAAGATAAACCGACGCCAGGCCAGAGAGAAGGAAAGGAAATGTATTCTGCGCTTCCCGAGGGAGATTCGCGGACTCCAGCAAGGAGTCAGCGAAGTCTTCCTGCCAGGGAGGGAGGAGGGAGCAGAGAGGGAAAGAGAGAGGAGCCCTGACCTCCGTGGCGAACTTCGACCTCCACAGGCCCGGGTTGGGGAACCGATAAGGGGCGCTTATCCGTAATGGAGAGCGAGTTTTAAGCTGGCCAGGAGGGGAGGGTAGTGGGGAGAAACTGCAAGTGGTCAAATAAGGAGGAAGAGGAAGGAGCTGTAAACCGCCTTCATCCATGAAAATTCCAAGGTAGGGTGGTGCTTTGATCATTCCGTGACTCGTTGATCTTCGACCCTTTGGAATTATCCGTCTTGGTCCCATAGGGGCAGGCAGGCTTTTTCTAAAATCCTCCGACCTGTACCTGACCCAATATTCTAGCCTTTTCGATGACATATGAGGCAACGTTAGTGTATTTTAACTGCTTCCTGCTGTACCTGGGCGACATAGGATTAAAGGCCAGAGCAAGTTTAGGTCAGGCTCCGTAATCTGCAGGGGGCTGTACGGGTGTAAAGAAGCTGATTGACAGTTAAATTGGTTAAGTCCCTTATCCTGTTCTGGAGAAACTTGAAAACAAAAACAGAAACATATAACTGCAAGTGGCCCCAGTAAAGGAAGGATACAGTTTAAAGGGGATTTTGGAATTAAGAGAGTAGTAAGGCATTGTCTCCCCTGTGGTTTTTAAGATCTTCAGCCAATTTGGTGAGACTCTCTATGCATTGTTCTACCAGCTTGCTTCATTAACATAATAAAAGCACTCTTGAGCTGTCCTGCGGGGAGGCTAAGAGACCAAAGTGTTTACAGACTTTTTTTTTCTTCTACACAACTGCACTCATTTTATTTCACAGACCACCTAACGGTTCAAACACAGACAGTTTTCAGTGTTCAATTAGACAATAGTACTGATGATGTGTAGCCATTAGAACTTCAGTACCCTTTCACACAGTAAACATGTTAACATTATATAGTACTAAAAACCTAAAACTAAGACCACTATGTGGTAACATGGATGGATTTAAGGAAAAACATAGAGCCAGTTACCTAAGGCCACATCCCAGATCTATTGATTTAAATGCTTCTGGACTGACAGCATTATGTCCTATGGTTCCTCTCACATTCTGGCTTCTCCAGAGTCCGAGACACCACACGCAGGCCATGGCTCCTTCCTTTCCTCTTTCCTATATGCACTGATGGGAGACATCCCAATATAAGCTTTTCTTAGACTCTTCCTGGCTTTCTGAGTTACTAACCAACTTTGAATCAATAGTTAAAGAGTGCTGTTTCCTGAACTCCCAGGCTGAATTCAAGGTCAGTCTTTTGATTTCTTGACCTGTCACAGCCTTTCTTGTTAGGAAAAAAAAAAACCGAAATGTCCATTTCTGGGGTCCTTTTTCATCTCATGTTGCATGGTGTTCAGCGGGGATCTGTGGCTTTTTACACAAGTCCTGGTAGAATTCGGACTCCAAGAAACGGGGATAAGAGTTGTTTTCCATCAAGCTGTAAACTCTTTTCTGTGCAGTTGTAAAGCAACCACTTGCAGCATCTTGTAAATTTTGGGCAATTAGAGTTTTGGTTTGAAAGTCTATGTTTATCTCCTTTGGAGCTTCCTTTTCTATGAAGTCAGTATATATTTTCCTTGCTTTTGAGGACAGCTTTTGGGGTGACTTTGTTTTTTTGAAGTCTTCACAGGCCAGCCAGAATTCAATATTTTCTTCACAAAATTCAGATTTTAGAAAAGCCCTGAATGCAGCAAGACCATATTTACTGGCTAGCAGCTCATCAAATGCTTCTGACCACAGCTGAGCTTCCTCAGGAGATGGCTTAATAAAAGTTTGCTGTTTGCTTTTCTTGCCTGGTTTAGGCTTCCCGGGAGTGGAGGAATTTTGTAAGAAGTAGCTCAGACGGGCCTTCCAATCTTTTAAGAGGGTCCGTTTCATCTTCTCCCGCTTCTCTTCGCTCTTGGAGCAGCCACTGCCTGCGTCCTTGTCCATCGGTCGGTCCGCAGTATTCGTGCTGCTGCTCTTCTCTAGCCCTTTGGGTGCTGAGAAACCATGCTAATTCAGACTGACCACACAGGGTGAGCTGCGGAACTACAGGAAGTGGAAAACAAGGTCCTGCTGTGGAAGGATTTAAAGTTCTAGTGCACCAGAGGAATTGTCTGGGGTTGGAGAAGATCTGAGTATTAACAGTTACATTGTCTGCAAACTGATTTGTGAAGTAACAAACTAGATGGCATTGGGCATTGGGCATGACAAGAGGATGGGAGAGGGGTGAGGCTGGCCTGAATTAGTTAGGCTGCAGTGGGCGACCATGTCTGCTCTGCCGCCTACCTGTGTTATCTGGGAACCATCAGCTTAATGTCCTTCGCATTTCCCACACTGTAATTCCTCTCTTAAAATGAACACATTCACTTCTCCTTCCTCATCAACCTCTCGGCAAACAGCCTTCTATATACTTTCAAGTTTCTCTCACATTCTAGCACAACCAGACATTCTATAAGTTAACCAACTCTTTTATTGATTAATTGCAACTTACTCTGACCTACTGAAACTTAACTGTCTCCATCTAAACGAAGCAATCACTGAATGTGAAAATTGTATTACTTTTAACTGTCAGCAAAGGGTTTATCAGGGTTTGGTAAACACAGTGGTGGGAATTGTAACTCAGCTTTCTCTCTTCTGATGGAATTATCTTTTCCCAGGCACTTAAGCAAACTTCACGTATCTGTCCTATTGTCTGTTCATTAAACTGTAGTTGGGACTCAACTGTGATATACTTCTCATCTCCTAGCAGCTGATGAATTCCTATATCTATACCCTCTTCTGCATTTTTGAGAGAAGGTGCGAGAGCTGTTTCGGCCCATAATAATTGATATTGCAAAGATTCTGAAGATGAGAGGCAAGATTTCGTTATCGCCCTCAAATCTGCTGGCATCCAATGCTCAGAATCCGCCAGAGATTTCATCATATTAATAACAAATGGGAAGTCTGGACCATAGTTAGATACAGCTTGCTTGAGGTCCTTCAGTAGCTTGAATGGGAAGGCAGTATGTTGCTGTTCTTGAATCTCTTGTGCGTGCTGCTCGTCGGGCTGTCTGTCTATAACTAACCGGATAAGCTATTCTGAATTCTAAATCTGCTTCTTCTGCAATCCCTCTTTCTACTCTTGAAAGTAAAGATGCTTTTCTATACTTTGCTTCTCTACTTCTATTCTCTGAGCTGCTCTTCTTAACCTGTATATCTCTAAGTTGCACTTCCCCAACTTCTACTTCTGTGTCAGCCCCCCTAGTTTGCATTTCTTTGGAGCTAATCTCTCTACCTCCAGCACTGGCTTGCTTGTTGTTTTACAATCTCTGGTCTTTCTTACGCTAAATTCCAAAAGCTGAGCAGATGATTTTACTATGTCCCCTTCTGACTCAGTTTTTTCAATTCCGCCTAAAATCTTCTTCATTTGCGCCATTCTGCCTGCTTCTCACCTGATTTAAGTTTGCATAGCTTAGATGCTTCTCACTGCTCTGCTGGTTATGTTTCTCTGCTATCTCTACCTTTGAAAGCAAAGGAGCTTCTTGGGATTGTTTAATAGCCTCGCTTTGGGTCTTGGAATCCACTGCCTCTCGTACTTTATCACCTTTAAACATTTGGAGGCTCCAGTCCCCCGAGGGCATATAGGCTTTGGCCTTTAGATTTCTTTTAGAATCAGAGGCCTTAGAAAATAAATCAATCCCTGCTTTTTCAGTTTCTGTTAAAATTTCATCGCCTAATTCATGCTCAGTCACACATACTTAGCTTGCTTTTCTAGATCTGGATAGCTCACACAAGACTTCTCACTAGACTGATAATCCTCATTCTCTTCCTCCTACAAAAGTTTTAAAGCCATCTTAACTTGAACCCACAGAGACCACGTCTCCATAGGGATACTCTCCCCATCTCTGTGTGCTTCCTTTAAGTTTTCAATCACCTTCTCCCAGGTCTCTAGATCAAAAGTTCCTTCCTCCGGGAACCATGGATTATACCTTTTTACTACTGTTAGAAAACATTGCATCTTTTTCTTCGTTACTTTTACACCCTGTCTTTTCAGTAAGTAGGTGAGCTTAGTACCATAAGTTTCACATTTACTTTCACCTTGCCCCATTGTCCTCTTAAATACTCATTCACTATTTCCACTACTGTAGTATTAAATAAAAAATTGACGCTGGGGGGTGAAGGGCCAGCCCCCACCCGCTGATACTACTTATTACTACTACTCGGATTCAGTAATACTACTTCTGGGTTCAGTAAT